CATCGCGTTTCCTGAAGGCATAGGACTTGGATATTCCTGCGTCTCATGAGGTCGGCAACCTCACGAGACTTCCCGGTAAGCGACCCCACGTTCAGGGTCCCAATTCGAACTAGCTTCTTTGGCCGAGGTCGTTCACTAGCCCTCGCATACTGACCACAGAACTCGGGCGAGGGTTCTGCGCGCCACTTCCGGGTGACGTCCTAGCTTTAACACTGATACTTTTGCGACTTGTCATTGTTGTGACGGGTTCCTCCATCAGCCGGCCTGTCAACCTGGGCCTGACGCTGGTATCGTCCCCATTTTTGCAATTTTTGCAAGGCAGGTTTGTGCCTCGGCAGGGATCGAACTCGTGGCTCAGGGTGTGAACATGAGTCTACACTCTTAACCACTCGGCTATCCCTGCCTTGAGAGATGAAACGAACCATTGCTGTTTTTATAGTATATTTCTACATATGTCTTTTCTTTCTTCTTCTAATTAGCATACCTATCTGAACTCCTTCTGACAACGACACGCCCACAAATAGCCGCAGCGGTTAGCAATTGACCACCATCGGATCAGCTTTTTTTATCCGCAATAGGTAGCTGATGGCGCTTTTTGATCTTCTTCAGAGTTTTTTGTGAAGAGGTAATTCTTATTGAGGCGCTGTTCGGCGACGGGGGGGGGCATTTTGCACTTTTGCTACTTCCCATCGACGTGTCGACCTATCTAGACAGCCTCTTCTCGAGTTGACAGGTTTGACATGATGGCTTGACGACCTTGCTCCAGCTTCACAAGAGTTCACAGGTTTCACTTGTAAACCGGAACTAGGGAAGCCAATGGAAAGTACAGAATGTCCCCCCCCCCTCGTCTCCGAACTGCGCCCTAATTAACGAAAAGAAATCTTTCTTGTGCAGAAAGCAAGGTTTTCTTGCGAGCAGTCACCGTTTTGAAGCAGACTTGTTTTACTTTTCTGGCTTTTTTCACTTGAATTCCCGCGAGTCTTCCACAAGCGCTTCGTGAAAATGTTGCTAGTATGTCCCTGATTCTGTGAAGGACCCACGTTTATATTGTCGTAAAGTTTGTTACTGCTTGAAGTAATGTGTTTTCATATTACCTCTGCAATCGCCGTCCTCTTTCAGGCACAGCGGTGATTCAACTCAGGCGAATAGTCGCACACTCCCTGACTGCAGCTGTTAACAAGGGCTTCACTTTGGGCGTTTTAGGCCGTTTCGTCCCGTTTTCACCTTACTGCCGTACTAAAGAGTGGCTCTGCTCCTATGTTCTGCACACAAGCAAATTATTGTCTGCTACACGGCCTCTAAGGTAGCGTTCATTCTTCGCGACAGCAGCTGCGATCGTAGCGGTCGCCGCGATCGTCGTCACGCGGCAGACGTTATTACTTGGACCGCTCGCTTTGATAAATAAGGAAATCCAACTTGTGAGACCTTTTCTCTTAATAATGGCTACTAACTGAAAACTTACGACTTTCTGTACATAAGAGGATCTGGAATATGAGGAAGGGAGTTCACCTTTTTTTTAGATCGGGTCGGAGGGCAACTTCATTTCCTAGGTGAGCTTCGCTTAGTTTTTCTTTTGTTTTGGTTGTTTCAAGTTATTTAAGTGTCTCGTAAGTTTCCTGTTAGCTGAACTGTTCCATGTTCCGAAACATCAAGTCAAGTTCAAACAAAGAAAAAAAGAAACCCACCCAGGAATCGAAACACTAATTTTTATGCAACATCAAGGAGGAGGAAACTTTATAACTTCATGTATAAGCTCGAAGAATGAAAAAAGAAACAATAAGAAACTCCCTAAATGAAGCTCTCACGCTTTTTGCTCATTTCTATCCTGAATCAAGAAAGAAAATAGAAAACAAAAGCCATTAATTTGGGTTCACCTTTCCTTGAGTCAAGGCTTCAGGACGTGAAACAATTGCAATTGAAAGAAAAAAAAGCACGAAATCAAGCCAGTTTTCCCAATAGCACTCGGAGCACTCCAAGTATTAGCGTTGGAGCGCGCTCTGTCGCTTACTGAGATCGCGGCGATCGCTACGGTGGCCGCGATCGCAGCTGCTGTCCCGAAGAATGAACGCTACCTTAAAGGCCGTGCAGCAGACAGTGATTTGCTTCTCTGCAGAAAATAGGAGCAGAGGCACTCTTTAGTACGGCAGTAAGGCGAAAACGGGACGAAACGGCCTAAAACGCCCAAAGTGAAGCCCTTGTTAACAGCTGCAGTCAGGGAGTGTGCGACTATTCGCCTGAGTTGAATCACCGCTGTGCCTGAAAGAGGACGGCGATTGCAGAGGTAATATGAAAACACATTACTTCAAGCAGTAACAAACTTAACACATTATTTCCAGCAGTAACAAACTTTACGGCAATACGAACATGGGTCCTCAGCAGAATCAGGGACATACTAGCAACATTTTCACGAAGTGCTTGTGGAAGACTCGCGGGAATTCAAGTGAAAAAAGCCAGAAAAGTAAAACAAGTCTGCTTCAAAACGGGGACTGCTCGCAAGAAAACCTTGCTTTCTGCACAAGAAAGATTTCTTTTCGTTAATTAGGGCGCAGTTCGGAGACGAGGGGGAGGACATTCTGTACTTCCATGGCTTCCCTAGTTCCGGTTTACAAGTGACCTGTGAACTCTTGTGAAGCTGGAGCAAGGTCGTCAAGCCATCATGTAAAACCTGTCAACTCGAGAAGAGGCTGTCTAGATAGGTCGACACGTCGATGGGAAGTAGCAAAAGTGCAAAATGCCCCCCCCCCGTCGCCGAACAGCGCCTCAATAAGAATTACCTCTTCACAAAAAACTCTGAAGAAGATCAAAAAGCGCCATCAGCTACCTATTGCGGATAAAAAACAGCTGATCCTATGGTGGTCAATTGCTAATCGGTGCGGCTATTTTTGGGCGTGTCGTTGTCAGAAGGAGTGTAGATTGGTATGTAATACTTCAAGGCACCTCATCAGGTGTATAGTTTTCCTTTTTCATTGTGCACTATGGACACACCGTTGGCTACAGACGCGCGTCCACTTCAGGTTCGTAATGGGAAAGGCACCGTCTGGACGTTTCTAGCCCCAGTTCGACGACCACCTAAGGCGTGCGATGGAGTTGATCGCGGACGATCGATCCCTGCCACCACACTTAAAGGCAGCCATCGGGATATCTTTTCGAGATAAGAAGGAACTTTATGATGTATTAGTGAGAAACAAGCAATTTTTGAAGGAAAAGAAATAGGTCAAAGGAAGGAAATGAGTTGGAAAACGAGATAGTTCTATTGAAATCCCGAATTACAACTCTGGAGTAGTCTCTTTCCAATAAGTCTTCACAGTTATATGACAGTAGGGATATTTCTTTTGTTATGGCATACGATGAAACTGAACGTAAGCGCTCAGTGATTGTTGCTAGAGTTAAAGAATGTGTTCCTCCTATAGCATGCGTGAGGGTTTCCTACGATTTAAATTGTATTCGTCGCATTAATGATTTTCTCTCAATAGATTGTCAGCCGATTAGTGTTTATAGAATGGGGCGTTATATCCCTGGTAAACCGCGCCTCTTGAAAGTATTAGGTCATCCCATTCGAAAGTGCCGAAGATCTTATTCATATAAAACGAAGAGAAAAACAGATAGAAAAGTAATATTTTGGCTTTGAGTTAAGTAGATCCCTCCTTCACCAATGACCCGCTCCCAGGGCCCCGAAAAGACCTCTGGTACCTTCGGTTTTTCAACAAGTGCGAGTAAATTGCTGTTGATGCCAATTTCGGCGAATGACAAAACATTGTAGCGTTTGCCGTCGGAGAGTACCCTCGACTGACCAGAACAGTTGGAATCGAACGGCTTTATGTTGGGCGAATGGGGCGATTGAACCCAGGTCTCAGTATTGTTTGTGTCCCAGCACTGCCCTACAATACAGTTACTCGGGGTCTGGCACTATGACGAGCAACGGTGGCCTTCTTGTAGTTGTGTGGTATCATCCATTTGTCGATCTGATTGCCGAGGAACAGGCAATATACACCGACAGCGACGATTTTATTCTCTGTATAGAGCCGCTTGAAAGCCACAGTGTGGGAATCCTTCGCTATGATGATCATCCACTTGCGCCCACGTAACTCCTCATGGTAGAACTCGGGCGGCTTCTCATCTGCATTCATACAAAATTGACGATTGTGAGTTTTGGCTCGAGGTCCAAGACCACCCATATTTCATCTAGGGTGCGTTTTCACAGTCGTGAATGACATCTCATGCTGAGAACATTACTGCTAGAGGTATAGAATCGGTACTGCGTTCGTGCTTCTATAAGAAAATTAGGTACCCATGCGCACACCCTCTTGACCATCCTCAGTTTATCGGACATAACTCGGGCAGCAGGGATGTCAGTCTCGCGGGGAAGCTCGACAAAGGTCCAGGCTCTGTGATCAGACATTCAGCGCTTGACTTCATCCACCCTTTTTTCTTGTGCAGGATGAACATTATGGGACCATCCACGACAACAATTTTTTTCCTTTCTTCCTTCTTCGGGCTCCTGAACCAAACCTTCCACCTTGTTTCGAGAAACCATTACACACAACTACTGGTCCGGCGCAGGTCGAATTTGAGCAGCGCATTTCCCTTCGATAACTTCCTTGTGGGTAGGTTCGCCAAATTTCACAGATACATAGCTAAAGGTACTAGCCTCCAAATGGTATAGTAGCCCGCTGCTCTATCCCCTTTGCTTTTCTGCCATTCCTCTATATGTCTCGGCACTTTTGAATGGGATGACCTAATAATATTTCCTTCATAGTTTTTTTTCGTCCCTGCTTAAGAGAGCACCTGAACTGAGATTCATTTCCAAGAAAGGCATTTTTGTGAGGCGTTCTTTATTCCTGGCTGAGCGCCAAAGCTTAAGAGTTCATAGGAACGGTAGAAGAGATACCGATATCGTGTGTGATTCGCATCCTTCGCAATCATCCTTCAGTTTCCGTTGATGTGAGTCATTCGAAAACTCAAGACATTGTACCTTCATGCTCCTCTCCGTTCGTGATGGTAGAAACGCAAATAATTTAAACATGTAAAGGTCCAAGGGGATTCGCACCCAAGCATCTTTTGCTTTGTTACCAATATCAGATCCATAGTAAAGAATTCGGATGCGCTGGCATTACTCATAAAGCAACGCAGCCCCGATATATACACACGATACACTACAATAACAGAGACATGGCTTACCCCTTTATCACTCTACCTCCTCTTATTCACATGAATATCTCTTCTTACCCTGTTGTGCGATGTGACCTGCCTATCTAAAGATGGAGGGGTAACATTAATTGTCAGGAACGTATTTTCTCCTTTTCTATTTGTTCTTATTCTTCTTATTCTCTCATCTCAGGGATTTTGAGTGAGTTCAATGGTTGGTTTTGATCTGTGACGTGATGACTGAAGGAAAGAGTCCACGTACTGGCCTCTAATAGCAATATAGCGGTAAGAGGTGGCAAGAAATGTAGTGAAAATGGTTCTACCTATTCCACCGGGGCACACCACGTCGGGAATTCTCCAATAGGGGTCGTATTTGATCGCTGGGGGTCATAATGAGGAGGACAGTAAGCCCAACAGCGAAAGGTGTCAATGTCGCTGAACTCTGAGGAGCGAAATTTGCTTGTAGAGAACCTGGATGTGTGAAAAGCAAGTACGTAGATTGACTAAACAGTACAACTTAACAAGTCGATGACGATGGCAGACAATGTTGCTTACCAGTATACTGTTCCGATAATAAAATGTACGAAAGCCCAAGTTCTCTGAAAACGTGTCCCTAGGGTCAGCTTGTCCCTCTGAAACGGACATCACAGTCGCTTGCCACTAAACTTGGCGCCCGCGCCTCAGACACCGACGCCAAAATGCACTATCACCAAACACGCTGAAAGCATGTCTCCTGGTCTAGTCCGATTCCTTGAACATGAATATTATATTCACTTAACACACTTACAACTATGTCCGTCAATGGTGGACGACAGCCAGCTTGTCTTGTGGGACGGAGTCAGCCATGGCTGTACGACAGTTATTATTTTACCCAAAATCTACTGGTGTTTCATTTTCTTTCTAGACAATTAGTTTAGTCCAAGAAGCATCTTATACTGAGACCAACCAAATATGAACCGAATTCAAGACTTGTCTTTACTTTTCACCTTCAGTCAGTATAGTTACTTGCAATTATGCATACACACAATGGCTCGTCGTCAACATGACGCCTGTGGCGCGGGCGCCAAGCAGTTTCGGACCGAGCGGATGTGATATTCGCCTTTAGGAGGACAAACTACCCGCAAAAAATTTCAGCCTCCAAAGGAAATGAGAGTGGTAAAAGCTTCCCTGAATTAGAAATACTAGGGCAATGAGCAGAATTGTGCCAAGCATTCGAGATTCGTATCCTCGTCTCTTGCATTTCTTGATACATTTTGATCGTAGTCATTCATTTATTTGGAAATTACTAAGTTTCAACGAGAAAAATGTGCCGTCCCACGCGCAAGTCATGAAAAAAATGTATACATGTATTCTGTTGTATTTTGCTAGTTGTTGACTGAGTGGGACAGCCATTACCATCAGGGAGAGAAAGGTCATGCACCCATGCGGGTCTCCGTATTTCCCAACTCTGTTTTGCATTGTATAATGTTTATTTACTTTAGACGGCTCACGCCTTTGCTGTCAATCAATACAGTAGTCATCTATGCCGGCATCGGCGCGTCTGTGGAGCCCCGAGTGGAAAGGCCAGTTACTGGACAATCGTCAACTTCGCGCCCAGTGGGCGGAGCGAAGGGCCATATATAAACGCGAAGAAGTCGTCGCCAAGTGCACTTATTGAGCCACAGAAAGAGGTGAATTCTCATCACTACTTCCAAGAGAACTATTGCTTTAGGCAAGTTATACAGGCTAGACGTGACTTTTCTAGCCTGTTCGAGCGGTCGGCGACACAATAAAAGCACCAGAGGGTACGGACAGTGCCCTGAACAAGACCCGCCCAGCCTCCATTGGATGCAACCACACCACACTACCGCATGTTCGAGCTCCGCCGCGTTTCGAAGCCGCAGGACTTGCAGCCACGTGTAATATATATTGTGTGTGTGTGTGTACTGTGTGTGTGCTTGTGTGT